AATGGAGTTAGTGCTACACATTACAATACTGACAGAACAGGTAAAATGTGATGCGAACTTACTGCACCAGGCACCGCAAGCGAGGCCTGTCCTCCAGTTGGTTCAACTCCGAGGGGCTGTCCTCTGGTAGGCTTCTTCGATGGTGGGTCCTCCAGTTGGCTCACCTCCAGCTGGAATGTAGCATGGTCCAAGCCTGTTCTTGATGGTCTGAAACAGAAACAAGCTAGAGCCCGCCCTTCCGTCGAACCGAGTTGCCAGCTCCGCTTCGCTGCGCCGGCAACTCGGTTCGACAGGGGGCCGGCCCAGCTTGGCCTGCCGGCGGCCTTTCCTCGGGCCTTCGGCCCTCGCATCAGACCCAAATTGGCCAGTCGAAGGTCCGGCCCGCGGCAGAACATCAATGTCCGTGATTCCGGTTTGCAGTGTGTGCCCGATGCAGCGTACACTCGGCTTCGAAAGCAGGTCGACAGCCAGTCGAATGTTGTCACCATTGTCTATTGAGACAGAGACAACTTTGCCCATTTCAATATTCCATTCTCTAAGTGTATCCTTAAACCAGTCTCTGTTATTTAAACCGGTATGGTCGGCTAGAAATATTCTGAAATTTCAAAGAAAAAAAAAAATAAAATAATTGAAAAAATAAAAATAAGTTAATACTTAAAGCGGGGAAGGTCTGTCACAGTTTACCTGCAGTTGAGAGTGGCTGCCAAGAGCTTCCACTCTCCATTGATGAAGTGTGCACTTAGAGCCAAGTATGAATCGTCGGCCACTGAAGTCCATGCATCTGATGAAAGGGCTATCCATTTTGCCCCCACCAGCATCCTTTCGATGTTTTCCTTCGTGGACAGGTACAGTTTGGGAATGTGATTATTGGTGAGTGCCTTCCTGCCTGGTGGGTTGTATCCAGGCCGCCGGGCATTGCACAAGCGAGTGAATCCTTTTTCTCCACTGTACTCAAAGGCAAGTTAGTGGTACCAATGAAGTAAGCTACATGCATGTACAGTCTTTCCACTGACTTGGTATCTGGAGCCCTGAATTCACTGATGGAGGTTTAGTGAGTTCGTTTCTGAGATTTCCTGTAAATCAAAGAAAAAACGCATGATTTCAAGAGAAAGTGCATAAAGGCTGAGTCGAAAACAACAAAATTTTGTTTTAACGTTGAATTAAGATACAATAGCGCTTATTTCCGTGCAGCCAACGTTAGAGTAAAACTATGCAATATTTTAAACAAGGTAGGTTTACGCCAGACCGCGTCTTGTCGTAACAGGCTTCGCGATGTCTCGCGGCCTGTTCCTCCAATCCGCGCCTGGCGTACCTACCTTGGCCTGCGGCGCTAGCCTGCCTTCGGCAGGCATTGGCTTATCCATCGTCGGTTACTTCCTACGTGTTGCATGCTGGGGAACTCCGCCCCCCAGACCCCCCTTAATTCAAGATAGAGTTGCTTCATCTACAGATAACACGATCTTGACGCTTGTCACTTTTTAACTTGACGAAGCTGGGGGGCTCCGCCCCCCAGACCCCCCTTTCTTCAAGACAGAGGTGATCTACCTGCAGAAAACTCGATTTTTCGCCGTTTTTTAGGTGTTTTTCGGCTATAAAAACTGAACCAGTTGAGCTAGGATGGTGAAATTTCGCGTGTGCCGAGCCAAGAACATACCTAATAAGCCTGCAAAATCTCAGCCAGATCGGCCGAGCCGTTCAGGAGGAGTAGTGTACACACACAGACAGACAGACAGACAGACAGGAAAAATTTTTCAACCCCACTGGAGTAACAGGCTTCGCTATCGCTCAGCCAATAAAAATTTCACTTACAAGGGAGAAGGAGAAGGCGACCGAAACATGCTGCTGGACGGAGATGGTGAAAGCGGCGGCGTTGGAGATGGAGATGAAGACGGGAGCGACATTGGGGAACCAACTTCATTTAAGGGAGAGTGGGGTAATTCCGGACACGGGGTAATTCCGGACACTTCGATTTTCACTGGGTTTGAGTAAAGATAACTCATAGGCCCGCCTAGCAGAGGAAGATAATCAGTTAAAAATGATAATTCCAAATCGCCAAGGTAAGAGGTCAAACCGTTTGGCTGTAGTTGCTTCACGAAGTTTGAGTACCATCAAAAATAGGCAAAAGCTGCATCTTTATCTCGTATATCCATGTACTTATCGTACCATGCCGTCAAGGTCAGTCCCATGACTAAAATTTTATCATATTATATGGTCTTTGGACTTTACTTTGACGTCTCGGGAGTGCTCGTATGGCTCGCCGTTTTCTTACAATTGAACATCAAAGGTTTTTACTACCTGTGGGTTAAATCCGGCGGGGCAAATTGCCAAATTCGTGGCAAGTAAACTTACCACTGACATTGCAGTGAGAATGCTTCTCATCATATCACCTCACTGAATTTCTCAAGGTTAACAAATAAAATGAGCATGGCAAGAGGGTGTAGCTGAACTTCACCCAGTTTTGTTAAAATTTTCATTGGGAAATTGAATACCGTAGTCTAAGTGACTCCGTTGAAAAAATTGGCAAAAGGACATATCTGAACCTGCACATTTATGATTATATTGTAAAAGGAGTATCTGCTGCAGCATGAGTTGCCTACTCTTCAGGGGTGCGTGTGATGGGCGCGCGCGCGTGTTCGCTCAAGCCAACGCCAATGGCATCCCCCCCGCGCCCACTCCAAAAGCACGAACACGTCGTTTGCTTCAGCCAGTTCAACAACTAGAGATAAATGTAAAAAAAAATTAGTTTACACACTTGTTAGACAAAGCCGACGCTGATCGAGCTGTAACTTCGGCCGGGTCGTCCACGTCGTCATTGTCTTCCTCGTCACTCGCACGACCTGCAGCTTCGTCGACAGTGTCCGCGATGACGGAATGGTGGCACCCATAGTCCGTGACCGTGTCCTCAAGGCTCATGGGCGGCAGCAGGGAGACAGCCTTGCCGAGCCAGGTAGCAGCTCCGAAAAGGTGGAAAAGCAGAAGTGTTTCAAGTTACCCTTGCTGTCTCAAGTTACCCCGGTTTACGGTACTCCCTTAAACTTAAAAAAAAATAACATTTCTTGCAACATGATTTTATGTTCTCAATTCAAATTGAATTATCTATCAAATTATTCCCCCGTAAACAATACAACTACATGTCTGGAATCCGACGTCTTTCGGACGTCCCGAAGAAGTCGGTTTTGGGAGCTCTTCGGGACCTCCCTAAACGTACTACAAATGAAGCTCTCTCGTACGTCGCACGGGGACGCAGTGTGTGGTGCCAGCGTTCGCCGCCAGAGCGTGCCCTGGTCGCTCGTCCCAAAGTAGTCGGTTCTCGGAGCACTTCGGGACGTCCGAAACGGTAGGTCTTTGGGAGGTCCCCCACCACCCGTCGCAGCGTCCTGCGGCCATGTAGTTCCGAGTGTGCCCGCTGGAGCGCGCTATCGGACGATGTGTTGCCAGCGCCCGCCGCTTGAGCGCGCCTCGGGCCGCACGCGATGCTCACCTGTTGTGCGGACGACACTCGGCGCACTTTGGCGCGCACTGTGCTTGTGGCGTCCGATCCTTACTTCTATTCATTTTTCTGTCAACTATAGGAAATTCATTTCTCCAAAGAAACGAAACCAAGCGCGAAGATATTCAGTTCTTAGCTGCACTAATAAGAAGAATACTTCAAAGCCTGGTGCAGGCTTTCGTCTTTCAATCCAAATCAGAAAGTGTCGGTGTAAGTTAACCTACAATACTCTGTTACTTTGATACTCTTATTGTCAAAGTGTTTATTTTGTTCGTCTTCTAATTTAATGTTTGAGAAATAGGCTCTTTGCGGACACCTTGACCCACTGGAGTTGCCCGTGATTCTGGAACGATAACCTGCACCACTATGCAATTACATGTGGGACAAGAACTGACTCCTGTGCTGCAGTGTCAAATTCGCTGAATATCCTACGACAGAGCAAAGTAAGCATGACACCTTGGAATCAGTGCTAATTGAATTTCTTTCAGTCATTTTGGTTAATTTTTAATCAAGGGGTGTTACACTTATGGTTGCTGTATTTTCTTTTCAGTCCAACTGAGATTCTTCTTTTAAATATTTTGTTTTTGAGTCCTGTCCACCATTTATGTCTCCATATTTTCTGTTGTTCGTAACAAGTCCTATCGTTTGATTTTTTAATTTAAAAAGGTCAGTGAATAAATACTACATTTTTTCCTAACAGTTAATCTGTGTCACATTCACATTCCTATACGCATTTAAAATCCGGAACAGTGGCGCACCCTAGCGGCAGGCCATCGAACTACGACAAAGGTGTGCGCTCTAGCGGTCACCTTCGGAACGACATGGCCGCAGGGCGCTGCGACGGGTGGTGGGGGACCTCCGAAAGACCTCTCGAAGACCCACCGTTTCCGACGTCCCGAAGTGCTCCCAAAAAAGACGTCCTAAAATGTAGCACGGCAATACTACTTTCGGATGCCTTTTTTGTTTCATAAGGTACTACTTCAGTACTACATTTTGGGAGGTACATAGCTCCGAAATGGTAGTACGACAGTACTACTTTTGATAGTAGTTTTGTTTACGGGGTCATCAAGCAACTCTGCTTCCGATTCCGATTCTTCTGAACTGGAAGAATAATCAGAGTCTGAGTCCGCTGCCTTCTTCATAGCCTCAGTTGGGTTCTCTCTTCTCGAGAAATTGCGGAGCGATAAAAAGTCATTGGTGGTCTCGCCTGCCATTGAGGACGTTCTGTCAGAGCCCAGATTGTTCGCATCACTGAAAACAGTTTCGCACGGAGCACTAGCAGCAGGAGTAGCTAAAATCTCTTAAGCTACAGCAGCCAATTTCGGGTACAATGAAGAAAAACAAAGGATAAAGGTAAATGACAACGTATTGTCTCCTTTTCATATAAAAATGGCAGTTTTGCTAAGTTGGAAATTGGGACCAAACCTACCTCAACTTGCTTTGCAAATTCAGATTTCATGAGGCGCCACACTTTCTTGAAAATGCGATTAGCATCTAGATTTAGCTCCTCTCAAGGTTTGTTTTCTAAAACCATTTTTTGGGCCACCATGTCAATAAAGGCATTTGCTGCCTCACTTCTCCACATGGTTTCAATGCGTGTGAAAACTTCATCAGGGACCTTAAAATTGTCCTTGTCCGACATGTTGGCAGCAGTTTTGATAATTGCCTCCATATCATCACGGGGTGGTGAGTCAACTTCAGCAGTAATTGGAAAGAGCTTTAACACTCCACTCTTCAATTAAGCTGTGAATTTTCTGCAGCCATTGCACTGTTTTAAGTGCATCAGCTTCTGCAACTGTCTGCTCCAATTGTTAAGCTTGTACCTGCAAAGAAAAGAAAGAAAGGGTGAGTTGGACAAAACGACATTTAAAATAGGACTTGAATACATTTTTACGAATATTTTTAGGCACGAAGTAGCCTTATAGTATACCCAGGGTTCAGCCGGCGGGAGATTCAATTCGCGTGGCCCTTTATGCATATTGGAAATTTTCTATAGGATTTTAATAAGATTTTGCAGACTATTAGAACTTTGAACGCTGATTCTGATGTTGAAATGTCGTCAAAAAGTTAACGACCAATATTGAGAAATTCGCTGTCAAAATCGCCGTTTCCATGGCAAAACTCGACTCGTCAAAGGAAAAAAAAGGGAGTGGGGGGAGCCCGAGCCGGGGTGGACCAATAGCCGAGCTTCTTTTCGGTTCTGTACAGCGTACTTAGGCGCCTGACCTCCGGACAGAATTCGGTGATTGATTTGTCAATAGTGTGAGTGTATTTAAAACACGCTTTCTCCACGATTAGTCTACGGTCTGAAGCCAGTATTTTTGGTGTCACAACCACCAAAGCTTTTGCAGGCAACATGTGCTGATCTGTACACCAAAGACTCAGTAAACTTCTTCCTTTTTCAGTCGCAAATGAACAGTTTATATAAGCTTACTGTTTCTCACAATGTACACAGTGCTGCGGCGACGATCGTTCAGGCACCCGGCAAGCCACGGCGCTCCGGCGTGCCTCACGTTCGTCGGCATCCTGGGCGCACCGGTGGTCCGACGGCGACCCCTGACGGGTTCCTGGTAGTCTAGCACTACCTTAACACGATGCTGAAGTCAAAAGTCCCGGACACCCAAGTGGAACGCAGCCAGAGGCCGATGATGATTTTGGCCTCATACTAAAAAGTTGCTTTGACGGACTCCTTGTGGTACGTCCTCGTATCTCCGGAACCGCTTGTCCTAGAGCGTCGCCCGGTTGACAAAACTCGTGACTAAAGACTTCCCAAGAATGTCCCCCCAGGAACGAGGAACGTTCCTTTAGGTCGAGGGGGCCACCACCCCCGTAATCCTGTGTACAAGTTTGCTGGTAATCTCTGGTAATCCATGGCGTAATCACGTAATCCTTGACAAAATTCTGTCATTTTTGAACGTTTTTGAGTCATTTTCCAACGTTTTCGAGCTATTTTTCAACGTTTTCGAACCAATTTTCGAAAGTTTCGCGCGTAATCCCTGGTAAATATCCCGTAATCTTGTGTACGCCTGAAATGAGAGTGGTGGCCCCCTCGCTTTAGGTACTACGCAGGGAGCTCCCCAATGGCAACGGGGCTTACCAGATAATCGTGGTGCTCTTCAAGATGTGAAATAAGTCCAATGTACGAACTTGAAGCAACATCACAAGCTGGACATACAAAGTTTCCATTGTCAATATTCTGATGTTGTGAAATTGTGATGTTGTCATTGTGAGAAGCTCGCACATGACGTTGCAAATTTTTTCTGAAATCAAAAAGATAAGATGTGTAAAATTAATTACAATTTTTATCAGCTTCATGTTGTTCGAAATTTACAAATCATGGTACTCACTTATGTCCTAAGACCTTGCTGCAAAACTGGCATGAAAATGACTCTCCTTCCTTTTCTTTAGAGGGTGCAGATGGGTTACCACTGAAAGAACAAAAATAAAAGAAAGGCATGAGTGAATTTGTCAATTTAACGATAGACACAAGAATCACAACAAAAGACACAAGATAATTTTAAAACTTATCTGAACAACACTTCCGAAACCTCCAGGTGAACCGTTACCAAAACCTCTCCGTCTCTCTCCATGGTCGTCAAAAAGAAATCTAAAACTAAAACATACAGGCACTGCGGACTGAAAAGCCCTCGTCAAAACCTGAAACCTTGAGCACAAGCACTGCGGACAGAAGTCCTTGTCAAAACCGTGAACATAGAACACACAACAAACCTAACCCAACATAAAGATAATGTGGACTTCGAGAGTCCTTGTCATTGCCACCGATTTACTAACCTTACCAAAACCTAGACATTAATAGATCAATGTAACTACCTAACTAACCCTCGTCCTAACCTCAAACCGTGAACTGTCTTCTGATGCTTTTTCAAATTATCAGGCCTTGAAAAGGTTTCCTCACACAAGTATCGCACTTTATTTTCGTATGGCCAGTGTGTGTCCGAAGATGTCGCCTCAAATTAGAAGGATCTTTAAAGTCACGACTACAAACGTTGCAAAGCATCTGTAACAAAAAAATCAACGCTTACAACCCAATGAACATACCATATTGAAATCTGAGAAACCATGACGAATTTTACCTCGATTAATAAGTGGAAGCAGAAGAAGAAGAACTATGAATTTCAAACTCATTATAAACAAATACAACAACAACAATCTTGCAACTTTAGTAGTCAACTTTGAGACGATGTAGCCTAGCCGGTGCAGGGACCAGGCTTGCCAGACACGGCCGACCCGAGCGCGCCCGGATCAGGCGCCCGAGCGCGCCCGAGCGCGCCCGGCCCGCTAAAGCGCCCGAGTGCGCCCGAATAGAGTAAGGTTACCAAACATGGATCACTGTTTAGAAATGTCCTGTATTTCGGCTCAAACAAGCGATGACCCACATTTTCTTCGATACGCTTCAAGATGACCACAAAGACAACCGCCTCTCAAGAACTGAACATTTTATAACAAATACTTTGAAATTTACAGGGCTTTGAAATTTTACTGATTTTAGTGATCCATATTTGGGTCTGACCCAAACATGGATCACCCCCCCTTGCGTTTTGACAGGGGCGGTCCGATAACTTCCGGTCGTCTAAATTTTAAAAGGGCACACTCTGAAGGTGCCACGAAAAAATTTTGAGACATTTCTGATGATTGGATCGTGTGTAATAACAATTTGAATTTTGACTCCTAACCTAACCTGAAACCAGGCCGTTTTCTGACCCTTTTTCAGAGGCACTTCTTCACTTGCATATTGTAAGGGTAACGGTAAGATTGTTCAGCTCCCCCGTGCGTGATTCTTGTAGTCTTATGTGTAGACCAAATGAAAAACTTTGAAAAAATTAAATTGGTCGATTGGTTTGGCGGTACGGGCTCGCTTACAAAAATGATCCATGATTGGTACCCCGATCCATGTTCGGCACTTTACCCTACGTTCGAAGGCGCCCGAAGGCGCCCGGCCGGCCGCACAGGTCCGATGGCTGCAAGTGCCCCCGAAGTGCACACGAAGTGCGCCCGAAGTCCACCGAGTGCACCCGAAGTGCACCCGAAGTGCACCCGAAGTGCGCCCGAAGTGCGCCCGAAGTGCACCGAGCGCACCCGAAGTGTGCCCGAAGTACTTTCAAGACCTGCCGATACGGTCTCGTCCACCCGAAGGTGTCCAAAACCCGGGCGCGCGCCCGGGCCGGAGCATTGCGCCCGTTGGGCGCCCAGGCGCCCGAGGCCATTTTTTCGGCGCCCGGAGGGACCCGAAAGCGCCCGGCGGGCGCCGAAGCGCCCGGTCTGGCAAGCCTGGCAGGGACCGCAATGTGATGTGACGCGGCGGAAGCGGAAGCGCTCGGCGCTATCGGCTCGGCACTCGGCTTCGGCGTCGCCGCTCGGCTGGGCGGTCGGTCGGGTCCGCTCACGAGAGGACCTGAGCGGTGGCTCCCTATCCATTCTATTCGGATCCCCCCCCGCTCCAATCCCCGGACGGCGCGCTCGGGGCGCCTTCGGCCAGAGCCCGGCTCTGGCCCTCGCCCTTGTCACACGAGGCATCGTGGATTCGGGGCGAGTCACGTCAACAAAACAATGTCAATTTCCCAAAGAACAATCACCTTCCTGGTCGGATTCGCGGGAGGAACGCACTAGGCTCGCGGGAAAACGCACTCGCGGTTGGGTCATTCCATGCCAACTCGACAGGGCTCGGACCGACACCTTGTCGGAGGGCATCGCCATAGTGGGCAATTGTTGGCCTTATGGTACCATTTGAAGACCCCAACTCAGTTTTTCGAAATCTGCACCGGGCTCCGAACTACGGCCTGATGAAGTTTTTCACATACATGACGACATGGGTGCACTAAAATGCAATTATCTCGGCAACCGTTCGTCGTATCTCAAATCCGAGACCACCATTGGAAAGAGGAGAAAAAATTACACAAAAAAATATTTTTTTGGGTTAACTTTGAAAAAAATTATTGAAACTTCAAAAAAGGTGTAACTTTTAAAGTGTGATATCTCAAAAACCCATATTTTAAAATCTCTCAAAAAATTCCAAAATCTACCTTTATTTATCATCTAAAAGAAAAGCTCAACCACCCAAAGTATTATTCTTCGTTTAGGAGAACGAGCAATTCGCGTGGGCCTCTGCAAACCACTTTTTCCCTATTTTCCCCCTTGAGTGGTGCGCCGGCGTGGCTATAGGGCCACCCCACACACCCTGGCACTGGCGGAGGTGCTGTTCTTCGTCGTGGAATGCCGAACCACAAACCGGGTACTCTCAATCATGGTAAAGCGCCTGCCAGGTAGGCAGTGGGAGCCACGCAGCGCAGCCCGGTCTGACGGGCAGGCCTCCCCAGACAAAGAGATTTCGCGCCCGTTACGGGCACAGCCTGAGCATATCTGGGCACAGCACGGGCGTGTGCGGGCTCAGTAAGGGCACAGCACGGGCACAGGATGGGCACAGCACGGGCAGGTACGGGCGCATCATCCGAAGGCGGGTAAAAAATTATTGGAAATACAGCAATTTTTTGTCGTTTCTGAGTATGTGCCGAAACATATACCACAGAACGTGGTTAAAATTGCAAGAATGCATTCAGTCAATTAATTAAAATTGTTTCGTACAACCGTAGAAACATGAAACTTTAAATACAGGTATGCATAAGAAAACGTGTTTGACGTAAAATATTTTAAATTCGAGGTCCCCCTGAGAAATTCCCACTCTTCTATCTTGAAAATCGCGCCTCCTAGCGCCCAGAGGAAGGAGCGGAGCGGAGAGCGCAGCGCAAAGTCAGTGAAGAGGCTCACCGGAGCCCCCAGTCCTAATCTATCGGGTTAGCTCAGTTGGCTCCGACGTCAGCACTGGTGTGCAAAGAAAGAGAGGAAGGCGGGAAGCGAGGGTTCGAATACGGCTAGCCTCTGCACTGTAAGGGGAAGTCGTATTTTTACAACTTTATTTTACATGAATACCATCGTAATTTTACAACATAAACTCGTAATTTTACGAACGTATTCGTTATTGGCTAAATACAAAGGGAAATTTCACAATTTTACACACATTTTTACGGTTAACCTTGTAAAATTACGAACTAAAGCTGTAATTTTACGAAGAATGTCGTCATTTGACGAACGAAAGTTGTCATATTACAAGCATTATCGTAATTTTACAAGTTTGATTGTAAATAAACGAGTAATTCCCTGTTAATTCTGTAGGACAAATTGTTCGTAAAATTACAAAAGTTTCTTAAATTACCACGAAAAATCGTAATTTAACAAGGAAACATCGTAAATTTACAAAGAAAGTCGTAAAATTTTCAAGGTACATTATTAGTTCTATTTTAACGTTTTTTCGTCGAGGCAAACCAAGACCAACCTGAAAATAATATGGTTGAAGATTCGAATTATAACGACTGTACTCATTAACTTACGAACAATTTGTCCTATGGAATTAACAGGGAATTACTCGTTATTTTACAACAAAATCCCTAACAGTGTGGCTTACCGCCATCGGGTTTTTTTCGGAACCGAGACTCGGACAGTCCGAAACCAGCCCGCATTTCGGTTTCCGGACACATCCGTAAAGTTGCCGATTTGGGAACATTCTGGAGCTTCGTCGGACTAGCCCGACGGACTTCTTTCGGGCTGGAACCCCGCTCGGACGGATCTTGGAGCAAATAATTTTTAAAAGGGGCGGTCCTCCGCTGCACCCGGCGACGGATTCGGGAGGGATTAGCTGCCCGGTCTCCCAGCATGCATCTCGGTCGCGACCCATCTTCCATATGATCTTAGGGGAAGGGGTCTCATTTGTGGACGTGGGCAAGCAGTGCTCACAAAGCTCCTTTGAGGCCAGTGCGACTAACGGCAAAGTCGGATAGCTTGTGCCTTCCAGCTTCCTGTTCATCTCCCGGAAGGGGCGCAAAAACGCCACAAGCCAGTCCAGCATTCCTTTGTCCAAGCCCTTAACCCGCTTCTTCTGGTTCATACTGCCAAGGATTTCATTGACCTAAAACATAAAAGGAACAGATCATTAGTGAGATTTGAAGAGAAGGGGGCAGGAGGGAGGGAATTGGAGAAGGAGGTTGGGTTAGGGTGCATGGGAAAAGAGGGGGGGGGGGGAGGGGTGCTCCTTGAGGCACTCTCTCCTCTGCCCGCTCCGCTCCGCCTCCCTCCCTCCCGACCGCCACCGCACCCGGGGCCCGGGCCCTGCGTTGCGCCCTGCGCCGCGGCCGCGCACCTGACCTTACACCCGCCACAGCCGGGTCATCGGCGTGCTCACCTCGCGTCCGCGCCCACCGTCGCAAAAGAAGGGTAGGGGTCGAGAATGGAAAGTTATTTAAATATTTACAAAATTACCTTGTCGAACTGACGACACAAAGAATCCAACATTATGCTAAGAGAATTCCAGCGCGTCTCTGCTTCTTGTTCCACTCTCCTGTCGAGCCGCTGTGAGATTCCACTTGTTTTCAAGTAGGTAACCAAATCCTTGGCCAGCTTCACCTGCGCAGAAAGTTGAAAGTGTACAAACCTTCTCAATGAGTTTATTAGCCTATAGAACAAGGTAGGTTTACGCCAGACCGCGTCTTGTCGTAAGGTAAAAAATCAATTGTGGGTCACGAATCAATTGTGGGTCATTTTTTTCGACGGGTCACCGCAACCCCGACGGTGATTGAATCGATTTGAATTTCGCGGTAGATCTTCCTCCAACCTTTCTTTGTCTCCCCAAATAGCGTGTATGTCCGAGCGACGACTGTAACAGCAACTACCAGGCTTCAAAAAGTCACGAAAAAAGCGCCCATCCAACGAGGCGAAAAATCGTTTGTTTTTCAAATTGCCACCGTGAAGCTATTACGAGGTAAAACGGGACGTCCTTGCTGATTTAGGTTCATAATAGGTCAGGGGACATAAATTTACCATAGTACAGCCGAAATCATTCGATGCCATGGTGCGCGGGTGATGGCAAAGTAGCGTTCGCTACCATGTCCGACCCATTATTTTTGACGAATTTTGCGGTAGTTTTTCTTATATTTTT